GCAGGACAGGATCTTCCAAATCATCAAGTATAAAATCCACCGGTTCAAAGCAAAATTCCAAATTTTTAAAACCTAACCTTCAGTGGATTCCAAAATCCTTTTCAGATCAATCTCCATTACTTTCTAACTCAAAAACAAAGAAAGAAGCAAATGAAAAACTTGTAAAAGGAAAGGGTCAACCCAGGATTGTGATGACCCGGGTCCCTAAAACTAACTAATTCCATTCATCGTGCAGGGACAATTACGGAGGAATGTCGCCAGACCTTGGTATGTCGACAACGGCTGCTCCCGGCACATGACTGGAGACATATGCCAATTGCACAACATTCAAACTTTTAATGGAGGATATGTTTCTTTTGCGGGTGGAGAGGGCGGAAAAATTACTCAAAGAGGAACTGTTTCTAATGGAGTGTTGAATTTTGAGAATGTTAACTTTTCTCCAGAACTGAAGCACAGCTTGTTGAGTGTATCCAAGATATGTGACAAGGGCTACTCTACTCATTTCATAGATAAAGAATGTCTGATCTTAAAGCATGGCATTATTATCCCTGAAGATTGGATTCTTGTAAGATCTAAGCGGGATGGAAATGCCTACATTATAGACATGAATAGCAATTTCCCTGACGATGTCACTTGTCTCTTCTCCAAAGCTTCTGAACAAAATGCGATGCTGTGGCATCTTCGTCTCGGTCATGCGAATGCAAAGAACTTGAATCGTCTTGTGAAGAACGAATTGGTCTGTGGGCTACCCATCAAGGATTTCATTACTTTTGAAAAATGTGTTTCATGCGCTCAGGGAAAACATGATCGAAAACCACACTTTCCAAAGCAGATAAACTCCATAAGTCAAGTGCTAGAATTATTGCATATGGATTTATTTGGTCCGCTTAATGTTCTAAGTATCAATCGCAACTCTTTCTGCCTTGTTGTGATAGATGATACTCTCGTTTCAATTGGGTTTTCTTTCTGTCTAACAAAGCTGAAATTGCTAACCTTATCAAAAGATTCATTGTGATTATCGAAAATCAGACTAAACATCGAGTGAAAGCACTGCATACCGATAATGGAACAGAGTTCAAGAACGCTGTTCTTGATCATTTTTGCACTGAGAAAGGGATTGTGCGTCAATTCAGTTCTGTTTGAACACCTCAATAAAACAGGGTTTCCGAACATCGGAATCGAACTCTAAAAGATGCCGCAAGGACGATGCTCTGTGACTCCAAGCTTCCTGTATTCTTCTGGGCAGAGGCAATTAACACCGCGTGTTATGTTCAAAATCGTGTGCTAATCAACAAAGTCAGAATGAAGATGCCGTATGAGATTTTATTTGGACACAATCCATCTGTCAGTCATTTCCGCGTATTTGGCTGCCCTTGCACCCTTCTCCACTTGGAATCCAATCCCAAATTCAATGCCAAAGCCAATGAATGTTACTTTGTTGGATATGCTGCTCGAACTGCGTACAGGGAGTACAATAAGAAGACTAAACAGATTGTAGAATCCTTTGATGTTCGTTGGCTCGAAGAAAATGAGATAGATGCAAGAGTGGGTCCTGATTGGTTATTTGACTACACATCTCTTTTCAAATCATTCAATGTGTCTTCAGATAATCAAAAAGGATCTACTTCCAATTCGAAGATTCCTAGTGATGACGAAGAAGATGAAGTTGTCTATCGAACACCATTGATTTCTTCTGATCCTCGATTGGTACCCTCTGCTCATTTTGAATCTTCTGAGTCTCCTCAACAACCTTCTCGTGATGCTATTGTTACTCTCTTAACTCCGATGGAAAGAGAGTTCATGAACCATGAGACTTCCACCGTAACTTCAAATCTGATGGAACTTCTCTTTCCGGAGAGTATTGCAGAAGAGTTTGTAGCATATTCTTCAAACGAACCTGGTTCATCCTCTGCAGATCATACAGCAAATGATGGAGCAGATAATATTCATAATCTTCCTGTTTCTGTCAATGGTATTAGTTATCAGATCCCTACACGTATTCAGCGAGATCATCCGATAGAGACTGTCATTGGACAGTTGGGCGATGGTGTTTAAACAAGAAGTAAAAGTGGGGATGTTAATACATGTCTCTACTCTTGCTTCATTTCTCAAATTGAACCTAAATCTGTCGAAATGGCTCTGAATGAGCCCAGCTGGGTTGAAGCTATTCATGACGAATTAAAACAATTTGAGAAACTCGGAGTCTGGAACTTGGTGGAGCTACCGAAAGGAAAGAAATCTCTTGATACTCGTTGGGTATTTTGAAATAAACAAGATGATTCAGGTGTCATTGTGCGCAACAAGGCAAGATTGGTGGTTCGAGGGTTTCGGCAAATTGAGGGTCTTGATTATACAGAAGTTTATGCTCCATTTGCTCGTTTGGAAGCCATTCGTATCTTCCTTGCTTATGCTTCTTACACGAACTTTACTATATACCAAATGGACGTTAAGACGGCTTTCTTGTATGGAAAGGTCAAGGAGGAGATTTACGTTGACCAACCACCTGGTTTTGTTAACTCATCTCTTCCAAATCATGTTTACAAGTTAGACAAAGCTCTGTATGGATTGCATCAAGCTCCTCGAGCTTGGTATGCTACTCTTACTCAGCATTTGCTCAATCACGGCTATTCCCGAGGCACCATTGATCAAACCTTGTTTCTCAAGCATGTCGGTCCAGATCAAATTCTTGTTCAAATTTATGTGGATGACATCATTTTCGGGTCGACAAGCCAACAACTTTGCAAGGAGTTTGAAGTGGTAATGAAAAAGCGTTTTGAGATGAGTTCACTTGGGGAAATGACCACGTTTTTGGGGCTTCAGGTCAAACAATCTTCAACCGGAATCCTTATTCATCAATCAAAATATGTGGAAGATGTACTGGAGAAGTTTGGGTTTCGAGACACAAAACCTGCTCTTACACCCATGGCGGAACGACCTCTTCCGTAGATCAAACTCATTATCGATCAATGATCGGATCACTCATGTATCTTACTGCTAGTCGCCCAAATGTCATGTTTGCGGTCTGTCAATGTGCTCGCTACCAGGCTAATCCTAAACTCTCTCATTTAATTGCTGTTAAAAGGATTTTTCGGTATCTCAAAGGATGCCCAAAATTGGGTCTTTGGTATCCGAAAAATCCAGAATTTGATCTTTATGCTTTTGCAGACAGCAATTATGGTGGTTTGATGTGTCGGTAGTCACGAAAGATTCTAAATGGACATGACTAGGTAGAATTGAACTTAGGAAATCAAATGACTTGATACATCTTGATCTAGATAGTTCTGTTTAACCTGGCAATACGACACTCGGATAGGTTGAGCAGGGAGATATATATGGGAATCTACTCGTCACATTAAATGAACTCGTATCTGGAACCGTGGTTTAACTTTTCCTCCATGTGCGGATTCTGTCCTTAATTCCGGTATTGATGGGGCAACTGGTAAATTCCAATAAATTAGGTTTGTAGAAAATTATTTTCTTTCTTTCTGTCTGTTAGTCATATGTTACCTCCTTTGCGTGATTGGAAGAGATCCGACCTGGACTGTAACATATGCAACTATATTTCTTGGCATATTATACATATACATATATGAAATTCCTCTTATCTATTAGCCATATGCTGTCTCCTTTGCGTGACTAAAATCCGACCTGGTACACAGCATATGCACTATAAGTGATAATACTCTGAATCTATCTTCTCCCTTAATGATGGTCTGCTCATCCGATGTATGGAGTACTCTGGAAGTCCTTGATTACCGGGGCATATCTGGAAGCGGGAAACATGTTCCAGTACAATTAAAATTGAACACTCAAAGATTGTCTATAGATCTCGCTGCTCAATTTAGGTGGACAACAATATCCCTGGTCGTCGTTAGCTAATGGTCCTTAAGATACAGTAAGATATAGTATCTAGAAACTTAGGATCAGATATAATATCTAGGAATTTAAGATCACATTGTCTTGTCACTTATAGTATGTCCTAGTTTTATCACAGTTTTTCGTGTTTAAGTGGACAACAATACCGACAATCGACCAGACAAAGATGTGAATATGAAAGGTACTGACAAACGGATAATGGTCGTCTAAAAACTTTGATCCCTAATCCTCAACTGATTAAAACAACTTATATAGGTTTAAATTGATTCTTGTTGTCAATAGAATTTTAAATCTCATTTTATTTTTACTTTTTTATTTTTATTTTTATTTTTATTTTTATTTTTATTTTTTATTTTATTTAAAAATTTTCCTTGAATCTTTGAATTTAAAATTCTATTGATCCTCAAAATAATTCATTTTTGAGAAAGTTGTGAAGTGAAAAGGGTTTTAGGATAAATAATTAAAGGAAAAGGGGGAGAAAGTGAAAAATCCTTGCATATATATTGTGTGCGTGTGCGGTGAATATCATTCAATCTCTATTTCTCTTCAACCGCACACACATATAAATTCTCTCAATCTTTTTAAAATTCCATTAAATTTGTTGTGAAAGCAAGCTGTTCACGCGGTAATTTTTATGAACACGGTTGAATTTTTTAATTATTTTCACAAAAATTTGCATTGTTTGCTGTTGAATCTTCATAAAAATTGGTTTCTTTTCAAGTGTAACCGCACACGGCATGTGCGGCCGCACACGTCCGTGTGTGGCTGACCGTGTGCTGCTACACTTCTTCATGTAAAAGCGTGTGCGGCTGACTGTTTGCTGCCATAGTTTTCAATGAACAAATGTGTGCGGCTGACCTTGTACAGCTGTACACATGCGTGTGCGGCTGTGTGTAACTGCGTGTGCGGCTGCATCATTCTTATATGTTGCCCTAGTAATTTCATGTGTTAACTTTCAGATTAAAATGGGAGACATGGAGTTTGCTAAAGCTCATAATTCTACAATTTTTCTTTAAGATCCTCCTGCAGCCCACAGTGACTTGAAATTCATTGTGGATGGTTTGAAGAAATCATGTCTGGTTCATTGCTTAACTACAAATCCTACAATCTACCAAAGTTTGATTATGGATTTCTGGAGAAATGCTGAAGTAAAGAAGAATGATCGAGGTGAAAAATTTCTGGAAACAACAATCAAAGAAAAGAGAATTCTAGTTACAGAAAGCATCATCAGAGAATCTCTTCAAATTGAGGACAGACCTGAGTACCTCATGGAGATTGAAGTTCATCAAATTGAGAAAGTTTTAGAGCATATGGGATACAAAGGAACTTTTCCTCCTACAATCAAAAAGATGCTTCCTCCATGCTGGAAGCTTTTGGCTCATGTGTTCGTGAGTTGCGTTTCTGGATGGAGATCAGGAGCTAACGAGATTTCTCTAGCCAATTCTGGTGCCATTGCTGCATTGGCAGCAAGTTTTGAGTTTAATTTCTCAAAATTCATAATGAACGAAATGATACTGAATATTGAAGGAAGCAAAATAGACAAATTTTGTATGTATCCAAGATTTCTACAAATCATCCTTAACGTAACTCACCCCGAGTTGCAGAGAGGAAATGATACTCTGGATTTCAAATCCATTGGTCCAAGTGCCTATGAATTAATGAAGCAAAAGAGAGGCGGAAAATTTGTATTTGAAGGAAAATTTCCTTTAATAAAATTTGGAATTTTTAAAGAGGATGTCAGAGAAGAACCAAAAGAGAGGCGGAAATTTGTATTTGAAGGAAAATTTCCTTTAATAAATTTTGGAATTTTTAAAGAGGATGTCAGAGAAGAACCAGTAGATCAATCCATGCTGATGGAAAATGAAGACACTCATCACTCTCCCTCTGATCCTGTAGTGGAGGAGATTCATCACTCTCCCACAGCTTGTGTAGCTGAGGAGCATGATTATCAGAAAGCAAATGATTCAATATCTTCGATGATGATCTTTATGAATATGTAGAGTTTTTGAAAGAAATCGACTTTACAGGAATCAATGATGATATTCCAACAAACATCGAGTTTGATTTTGGTGATGAAGATTTTGATCCTTTTCTTGATATTCCCAGCAGCCGTGCAAATAAAGTCAATGAAGTTGCTTCTCTAGCAACCAAGACTAGAGATGAAGGAAATTCTCTCAAAATTATGCTCTCTACCTCAAAGCCCTTGGAAATCACAAGAAGTCAAGGAGATGTGACATCAGAGATTCCTCCCTCTGTGTCACCTGTCTCAACATCAACTCCAGTCATTTCTATGTTACCTGAACCTCAGACATCTCAAATTTCCATAAGAACAAGCCAATCTCTTGAGAGTCTAGAGGTACCCTCTGTGAAATGTGCTCCTCAAGTTATCTCAACAATCACTACAACCACTGCTCACTCTCCTTCAAAGCAGACTGATGAAGGTCCAAGCACCATGTTCAAGACTGGTGGATCCTCTTCTATTCAAGAATATTCTCCAACACGATCTTCTCTTGATGAAGCATCTATCAGATTAGTAAAACATTTAGCTCAATCTAGTCCAACCTCTTCACGCGGAAAAGGAATATCATTTAACGAGGGTCGGATGGATGATGAAAAATCCTCTTCATCTGATCTCCGAGAAGAAATTGGAATTCTCCATCAACAGCTCATTGAAAAATCTATTCAGATAGATCAGCTTTATGCACATATTTTTGAGCTCAAGGAAAAAGATGAAGAAAAGACCAAACAAATCAAGGATCTACAAACGAGTCTCGGTTCTGTTCTGGCAAACTATTTCAATCTCAAGAATGTATTGTACTATGCCTTTGGTGAGAAAGTCAAAGCCCTTTTCCAACAGCCTCATGGAGTAGTTGATCCTCCTTCTATTCAATCACCTCTTGCAACTGATGATCTTCCTGTTGACCCACCTGTTCCAAGAACAACTACCATTGTAGACAAATTTGAAAAAGAACCTGAAGGAAGCAGAGCCAGAATCATAATCAAGCAGGGCAGAAGAATCACAAAACAAAGCGAAGGTCTTTTATTCATGAAAAAATCTAATGAAAATCGCAAAACAAAAGACACTATCTTGACAGTAACTGATTTGAAGAAAAGAAAGTTTGGTGATGAGTACGGTGACAAAACAGGCATCCGAATGTGGGCCTTTGATCCAGTGACGAACTTGTGGGTTGTAAAGCGAAAATCAGAAGCAACTGAATGTTACAAAAGCACCCATGATTTCAACTCCTGGACTAAAACTGATCTAGCTGAATTATCCAGGGCCCCATTTCATAACCCCTCTGAAGATCCAAATGCTTCAAATTTCAAAAGATTTCTCGATAGACAGGTCAAAGCGAACTTTCCTTCAATGAAGACTGCCAAAGCCCTATACAAAAAGGACAAAGATGTTCTTGATCCAGAAACAGGCGAACCCATGAAGATTATACTTTGTCCTGCAACTAAGAAACAGAAGGAAATTCCTAATCCTCAACACTTTCATGAGGGATATCTAGATGACATGGAATTTTGGGCATATGATGATGAAACAGCTACTGCAGCCATAAAATTCAAGAATCGAGAACATATTCTGAGATTGATTAGTGCTAAAGATCTTCTACGCTTCAGAGAAAATGATATACGAACTTTGGCCCATCATCAAATCATTTGCAGAAAGGATGTCATGGAGGCTGCTGCTAAAGAATACACTGCAATGGTAGCTACAATTATAAATGGAAGAATGTGGATGGGATCAATAGGGAGATCAGATCTGAGGTTGTTTGAGAAGCCCGCTGAGGAGCCAAAGGAGTGAAGACAAGACTATGCTAGCCTCAAACCAAAGGGGGAGACTGAAAGAACATAATTTTGTGGTTTGAGCTAGGCATCATTTTATATAGATGATAGTGTCTTATTTGAAGTGACTATGTGGTGTAGTGTAATGTGTGCGGCAGCACACATATGTTCAGCTGCACTCTCTTGTACTGGTGTGAGGAGTACTATTTATAGCAACTGAGGTGTGTCAGATGGTACTGATTTTGCTGGTATCAGAACTCTGTTGCAATTGTACTTTTCTCAAGATGTACTTGACATTTGTTGAATATAAATGTGTGCATGCTTGATTTTAATTCTTCTTCTTCTACATCTCTCCTTTATTATAATTAACTTCATTGATTACTGAACTAGATCATTAAATTTGGGACTTACACTTTACCTTGCGGTGGCTCTTAGAAGGAGGCTTCCTCTTCTTGTCCCTTCCTTGCCCAATAGCCAAAACAGGAGCAGCGGGTGGATTGGGAGTTGGTGCAACAGACTTGTCCTTGAGGTTGCTCTCAGCAACCCTTAGGAGACCTTGGAGCTTACTTAGGGTGACCTCTTCCTTGTTCATGTGGTAGGTCATCCTAAATTGATTGTAACACGGAGGCAATGAATAAAGTACCATGTCGATAGCCAAATCTTCCCCAAAGTCGACAGTCAACTTGCGAAGACGATCGACATACCTTTGCATCTTTTGCAAGTGTATGGTTAGATATTCCCCATGTCCCATTTTAGTAGAGATCGTGTTAGTGAAGATCTCGTAACGCTCATGCCTCACGTTTTGATGATATCTCTCCAATAAGTCTTGATGCATTTCGTACGGATACATGTCCTCATAGGACTTTTGGAATTCAGAGTTCATAGTGGCTATCATGATGCAATGAACTTTCGTTGCATCACACTCAAGAGTTTTAAAAGCAGTGATTTTAGCTGGAGTAGCAATTTCTAGATTGATCTTCTCGAGCTTTCGTCGAGGACATACTCCTTGTCCTCGTAGCGAGTAATCGTGCGAATGTATCTTATCCATTCGCTAAATTTTGTTCCATCGAAAGTCACCTTTTGGCAAAGGCTCATCAATGTGAATGAACTAGCAACAGCGTTGTTTGCGTTCGACATCTATAAATAGAAAGGAAAAAGATTGATTAGAATTTTGAATCCCTAATTATCACCCAATAAGAAAAATTAGGGCTAGGATCCAACAAACATTATTTACAAATTAGAAAAGGGATGACGTAATCCAACATGAAAACAATTTGAAGGTAAGTGAATGACGATTCACTAATTCTCCACCATGATTACATTACCTATAAGTTTTAAACGCATTGAGAATTCCTAGATTTTGGTGAGATTCATTGAACTTGTCAATGGCATGTTTAAATCTCGATATGCCCCTCTCGTTTGTGACTGGGATGCTGAGGATCACAAAGTGGGTGTGAATAACCATGCAAATCTACACAGGGCCTTCATTGTAATGATCACCTATTCGATGTGTCGGTAAACCACACACGCTCCATTGAACTATG